TGTATGAGTAAGTATGCATACTACTGTTGGAGGGTCGGCAATTAAATCAGTTACCCTACTTCAAGTTATTGTGATTGAGGCAGAACTCTTGACAAGTCAATGGCAAGCACTCTTTAGGTGGTATCTCAATAAATCCCTGTAGAGAAAGCAACAGGAAATCATTCAACTAACAATACCACGAAATATGGCATTTATGATTTATCAAACAAAATATGAAAGCTAACAGCGCAAAGGATGTGAAGTCTATCGGAAATATTTTTGAATTTTGGGACCTTGCAAAATCTTGGTAAAATATTTTTTTTTTTTTTTTTTTTACAAATTAAAAGATAAATTGATTTTATAAAATTTATGAAAAGCAAGACGATGCAACTGAAACAATAAATACTTTGCCAAACTCAAACAGAAACACCATTTCCTGAAAATCTGCTCCAAATTGTAAAATAAAAACATGCAGTAAAACTAGGAACTTCTATGAGATCGCTAAAGAAAAAAAAAGAGCATAAAGACACCAAACTTGACGAAAACAAAATTTTATCATCTAAATGTTTATGCTATTACTAAGAGGAATGATCAAAGTATTTTGGGGCTATTTTTTTTACATTTTTTTTTTTAATCGTTCTTACCATGTCCAAAATTTTTGTTAAAAATGTTTTTTTTGAGTCAGCAAAATTGACAGATAATCATGTCAAACATTTTCCCATTTTATAAAATTGAAAATCAGTTTCAAATTCTTTTAAAAATCAATTATAATTTTTTCAAAACTTATTTTAAGATTAGAAATTATAATGTTTACTTAAAATATTTTGAAACAAGCATTACTTAGTTTCTGTGCCGAAAAGATGTAATTTAAAAATAAAATAAAAGTCATAACATTTTGCGTCACTTGATAGGTGATGAGTGATGATTTTATCACATATTGACAGTTTACGCGAGGAAAAGTTATCATACAGAAGGACAGAAGTGATATAATTATTTAGATTTAAGTGAACAAATTATTTACCTCATTACTTTTAAGGAAAACTTTCAGCACTTTAATTTATTTTTTTTGTACTTAGCTTTCACCTTTACATTTATGATGCTTTATGGAAAATATATTATAAAAAAATCAAGTACACTATGTACATTATTCGGACTATCTTTGTTGCCATATTCATTATAACGTTTCGGCCGTTGTACGCTCCGACCGCTCCGACCTTCAAGTGGTTGGAATGTTGAACTGAACCCTTTATTTCGCTTGCTGAAATTTCATAAGATGATACTAATACTTGTAGGTACCCTTCTCAGTTGAAATTGAAAAATCAAATTAACTTCTCTACACATATTTTGCAAAAATAAAGAGAACAATGCTTAACTCAAATAACGTGACTTGCTGGTCTTCCATACTTTTTAATTACAGCCATTTTAGGAACACAACATAACATTTCTTAATTAGTGCGGGGTCTTCTGACTGGTCAAAGTGATACAATTTATAATGCTGTAAAAAAAGATCTATCTCATAAGGCCATTTACGAAACTGAATGCCGTTTTCACTAATTTTATAATATTTTAACAACTTAAATGTAAAAATCTAAAATAATTATAGGAAGAAATAATTTTATTAAAAATTCATTTTTCATCGAAAAAGTTTTTACTTTCAGAATACGTTGTCCATATTCATAAAAAAAACTAAAAAGTAAATAAAAGCTTTTGAAATTAAATATCTTTGTTTTATTGAGTTTTGTAGGTTACAATTCAGAGCAGGTTTGAGGGTGGGGCAAATAAAAAAAAAATTTTTTTTAAATACATTTGTTTTCCTCAAAGCCTTGTGCTTTTATAATCAAACTGAATGCTATTGAATTTTTAGAGTTTTCATAAAATTAGTTAAAATTAGTTATATTTATTATAAATATTTGCCATGACTTTAAAAAAAGAAAACATAATTAATTTCCATCATTTGTGAATAGTTTATGAAAGTTTCATTAACATCCGACAATTATTTTTATTTTTGCAAGATTTTCCAAATTAATGACTGTCATACAAAAAAAAAAAAGTGCTAAAAATTTGTTATTTACTAGTTCCGAGAAACAAGATTTTTTTAATCAAAATTTAGAATGTTCTACAAAGAAGGTAAAAAATTTTTTTAAAAAATTAAAAAATACTTTTCCTCTTAAACATAACAAACATAGACGATAAAATTTTGAGTTCGTCAAGTTTGGCGTCTTTTTCACCATGCTCTTTTTTTTTCTTTAGCAATCTCATGGAGGTACCTCCTTATGACATTATTTAAAACTAACTGCTTTTAAATAAGATAAGGACACTTTTGTCAAAATAATTTCATTCATTTGTGAATAAGTCCTGAAAATTTTATTAAAATCCAACAATTATTTGATTTTTCCAAGAATTTCCAAAAAATCCCCATACTGATCTTTAGCCCACCCACTGACGCAAGAAAAATCAGATTTTTAACCAAAATTTCGAACGTGCTAGAAATGATTAAGAAAATTAAGAAAATAAGCAAACAATAAAAGTTTTTTTTAATCTACGTAAACAAACAAAACATTTTGACGATAAAAGTTTTTCATCATAGTAATGCACTTTTTTAGAAAATTTTTTGGGTACCTATGCGATATAAACATTTATTTACAAAGTTTAATTCATTTTTGCCACAACAAGTAATTCACTATAATAGCCTGTAGTGTAGGACCAATAATATTTTGGTTTCGGTGAAGCGAAAATGTTAGTTTCCATAGCAACATTGTTTGCAGTATTTTTTTCTTTAACTTTCAAATTCCCTACATTTCTGATTTTTAATTTAAAATTTATTTGAAAAAAATATTTACAACTTCATTTCATTTTATATAATTATCTTATGTTTCTACTTTTAAAAATTTAGGCATTCATTTTTTAAATTTACTTATTTATTTTAAATTTCTTTGTTAATGAGGAGAAATCTTCCTCCCAAATGTGTGGAATTTTCTAAAATCCATAATTAAAACGCGCAAATTAACGTTCGAATTTTGAAAAACATTCATTAAAGTAAAGTTTAACTAAAAAAAAAAAAACTATTTAAAATTAAAAATGTGCTGAAACTACATTATCAATTTGTTTTTAAATTTCTTTCTTCCTATTCATATGTAGACAAATTTCATTTAGTTCCGCTGTTAATTTATTTCTTTTAAAAATCCATAGAATCATTTGTGTTGTCCACCTACTTGTATTTTTAAATAAATTTATTTTAATTTATTAACCAACACTAACAGTAAAGGACGATAACAATTTAAAGCGGGTGTGTAAAAAAATTAATTAACTGTAGTGAGTGGGGGGAAAAAAAAACACTCATCTTTTTTAATTAAACAAAATTTTTTTGGACCCGAAATACAAGCATTTATGATAAATTACGATAGTATTTGCAAAAACTATTTCATTTTGGATGTCACAATTTCAATCTGGAATAGCGCAGGTGACAATGAATTTAAAAACAAAACCTCACTTGTTTTTCTTGAAGCAATTCCAATTCAAATTTTACTAACCTTACTGTATTTATTCAATTATTACAAAATGTACATAAAATAAAATAAAATAAAAAAAAACAATCCATGAATCTGGAACTATTTTCTCTTCCTTCCAGATTTCAATACAATTGTATTGTTTAAGGATGAAGAGAAATAGCAAAAAAGTCAAGGAAAACGTGTTGCAAGTTGAATTGACATGCAACAGGTTTTTTTGAAAAACGATCAGAATGTCATACAAAAATAATCTATTTTCTTATATTTCTAATTTACTTTGGCAAAATTTAATTTTGCTGAGAAAAAGTGAGTTTCTTTGTTTGCTATGAAATTAAAAAAAAACTTTAAAAATGATTTTTTTTTTTTTTTTACACACAACTTGGAGCATTTTTAAAAACATTTATTTTAAAAAAATGATTTAGCTAGATTTCGGGGTGGTCTTTTTTGTTTTCATTTCAGAAATATTTCCACTATTATACTTGCAAATAAATTTAACGAAACCCCCCCCCCAAAAAAAAACAAATAAATAAACTGTATTGTAAACAAGAGTTTTTTTTTGGTTTTTTAGGAATCTTTAAAAATCCGAAACCAGTTTTAAAACGGAAAACCATTCCGCTCTGACAGAAGGTAAGAAGACTGACTGACTGACTTGTTGTGTTTACAAACACACACAGGCATCATGATTTTATTTTTATACACCGTCCCATCCTTGCAGTTTTTAAATCAATTAAACAAATTTTCATGATAATTAAGTCATTGTGCATCAAAGTAGTTTATCCAAAAATTAAATTTATCCACGTGGGTGTGACTTAAAAAAGAAGGTATGTTCAATATTTCGCTAGAACTTAGCATACCCTGATGAACAAAGGCCCCAAAATTGTTTAAAAATTTTTTTCGTCGTCTAAATGTTTAGATTATTAATAAAAGGAAAGATCTAAATATTTTCTGAATATTTTTTCATATTTTTTAATCCTTCCTATTACGTCCAAAATTTTATTTAAAAATCTTGTTTCTTTTTTGAGTCAACGAAACTACGATAAAAATAAAAATTTACATCTTGAAAATAAATAAAAGTAAAAACACTGCAATTTCTTGAAGCGGTGAATTACAAATATTTTCAACAAGGGATAATGTTAAGAAATGAAAAAGAATATTTTAGCTTTTATTCCTAAGAGAAAAAAAAAAACAATTTTATTTTTATTTTAAAAGTAATTCGAATAAAACCAGACATGCTACAAATTAAATTTCAAAGAATATTTTATTAGAAAAATGATGTTTCTTCAAAATTACAAGATTTAATTTAATATCTGAAATCACTGAAGCATTTTATTTTTTATTATTATTATTATTTTGTTATTCAAAAAAAAAAAAAAAAAACACATTTGGCAACAATTATTAAAAATCCCTTGTTCAAATTGTTTATTTATTATTTTTTTTTTACTATTATTACTTACCTCGCCGCATGCACGTGTTATTAGAGATACTTCAAATAAGTAAAATTCAAAAGCTTTTTACCTGGACAAAAACAAATAAGGGTATAAAATTATACCACTCAATACACCATTCCAAAAATACAGCCACAAAAATAATCCCGGAACCGGCAAGAAAAAAAGAAGGCAACAAAATGTCAACTGCTGCTTGCCGCCATTGGTCTTGTAATTTCCATTCATTAAAAAAAAAATGCAGACGCCGTTTCGTAGATTTAAACACTTTTAGTTTCGTATCAGAGAAAAGTAAGCAAGAAATCAAAATAAGGAACAAAGGTAAAACAAAGAAGGTATTTTATACTCTACTTATCGATGTAATAAAAAGTTATAAAATATTTAAACTTGGTTAAAGAAGTGAAAATATTATGGAATCCGAAAGTAAGATAATAATAACGATGAGTACTACTACTACTGTATCGGAATGCTTATTTTAGGACGATCGACGAGTAAAGCGAAAAAGTCTTTGCATTGGAGGAAGAACTTATGAATCCAAGAAAGAATTGAAATAACCGATTTACGAAAATCATCTAGAAGATGCGAGTTTTGGGGTAGAAATCAAATTAAATATCAGTTGATCTCTAATGAAAACAACCAAAAATACAACAATGTGAACAGAAAACAAAACTCAGTCACTAGTAGTCTTTTTTTTTTACTTACAAACTAGTAGACAAAAATCAATTAGCAACAGATGATCATAAAAATTAAGTACTCTCAAACACAGAGAAAAGAATTTAAAGATTTTGATATTCTCAATCTCTCGTAAATATGAGTTCGGGTTTTGTGACAATCTCATCAAAAGTTTTTTATTTATTTTTTTATTACTTTTTTTATTTTATTATTATTATGATTATGATGATGATGGAGGAGAAGAAGGGAGGAGGAGGGTGGGAGTGCTCTCTTTAAGTCATGGTTCCGTGAGTAAGAATTTGCACACTGAATTTGGTTCTCTTTATTTCACAGTAGAGACAATGATTTTCTGTGGGTGGGGAGCAGGCCTGTCTCGTAGAACTAAGCTTAAACATCAACCTTATTACCAGGAAAGCCACCCAAAAATATTAAATTTACAATTTAATTGTAAGCATACACTACATTCTTATCAAAAGTTCAAAACCATCTTCTTAAGTAATTGAATGATAAAGTAAAAAAAAAAAAATAATAATATGTAATGTATTTTGTCCTCAAAAAAGTAATTTTTTAAAATAATGATAGTCACTCTGTACTAGGCCCGAGAGCCACTCGAGGTAGAGGAATAGAGAGTATGAAGCACAGTTTGTGTAGATATGTGGGGAATATAACGGTTAACCTTAGACCTGAACAGGTTAAGATTGTAGCGATCAGGGAATCATTCTCTAGGGAGTTGGTTTCACAAAGAATCGGTTTGTGGGAAGAAGCTACTCAAGTGGAACTTACATCTTGTTAATGGAATACGAAAAGAATGAAGTGGGTTTGCTACAATGTATGTGGCATGGCAGGGCTATGCTGTGAAAGTTAGAACTGGTGGAATTAAGGAATTTAGTTTGTCTGAAGATTTTCTGCAGAAATAGCAATAGCGCTACGAAAGGCTTGCAATGTTTCATCTGTGGAAAATAATTCTTCACCCACAAGGACCCAGAGAAGCTTTTTGAGAATGAAAAGTGAAGACTAAGCAGTTCCTGTCCATGTATGGCAGCATTACTGTATTTTCAGTCTGGTCCAGCTCTTATAAAAGTATTGGTTACTTGTTGGAGCAGTACAGGGAACCGACCATTTTTCCAGCATCTTTAGTGATGGATTGTAGATATGAGTTCCACTTGAGGTCTGGGTTGAGTTTAAGTTCCAATAGGCACTCAAAACATGGGACCTCTCTGAGGGAATATTTGTTTATCACAATTGGTTCAAAGTTCTGGGTCCAATTGGTGATAATGGAATGTCACTAATTTGGTTTTTGAAGCATTGAATGTAACGAGCCTGTTTTTCCACTACTGAGCTGTTCAAGCTAGGTATGAGGAGGAATAAGCTTCCCAGCTCTGGTTATCTAGACCTTTGGAGGGGTACCCACATATATTCTTTTATCATTAACTTAGATAATCATAAATGACTGGAATATACACTTAGATCATTTATGTAAAGTAGAAAGAGGGTTGAACCAAGAAGCGGATTTTGGGAAATGCCCATGTTGATTGTTTGGACCTTAGAGGACTGGCTGTTAACAACTACCTTCAGGAAAAGACTACTCATCAGGAAAGACTTTATATGTTCTTATTGATGGAATATCTAAGGAGGAAAAGGCGATATAAGCGTAAAAGTTTATAATTATACACAAGGAAAATACTGAAAAAGTAGGAACACTAAATTTTCAATTTTAAAATTTCAGTTACTTATGCTTGTAATCTCATATAAGTAGTACTTCATTACTTTTTGCTTAGTAAGTAGTCTCTTTCATATTACCATCTTATCAATAGTTTAATTTGATTACAAACTCCTAACAACAAAATAAATTGAGTACAATCCATTGTTTGTGATAGTCTTTTACAATACAAGAGAGTATTTCAGTTTTAAGCATAGAATGGTCTTTCACTTTGTGTGGATAACTCCCACATGGTCTGTCAAAATGCTGCTAGATGGTACTGCTTAAGGACTATAAAAGAAAGAAAATAATCTTCCTCTTTCTCTCTTTTTGACCTAACATGCAACAAGTCATAGTTTCAACATAAAGTAATGCTTTTGTTGATGGAATATGTAAGGTGGGGAGGAGATAAAAGCGTGAATGGGATTTGTTTTTGCTGGGGAAGATGGATGAGTGAACTTTTACACATGCATATCACATGCACACACACACACACACACACATATATTGCTAAGTTTTAATGTTTTCCCTTCCCTTTTTCCCTCATGTACACACTCGTATATATTCTCTTTTGTTAATCATTGATCAGTTATACAAAAATGCAGGAAAATATCTTTGTATTGAAATTTATTCCTTTTCTTCTTGTACTTCTACAAATGATGACAATCTGCCATTTACATGTTAAAATATTGGTTGCCATTGCTTTTAGTTGAACTAGAAGTCATGAACTCAGCCTATATATTGTTAAGTAAAGAAAATATTTTCTCAACTGTAGCTGAAAAATGAGGCAACGAGAGGATCATGAATGGGAATTTGGAACATTACACAAAAAGATATAATTCCATTTCTTCTCTCCACCATCTAGGGGTTAAATAATTGAAAACTGGGTTCTCTAGCCTAGGTTAGCAGCTAGTCTAGGAGAAAGACAAATCTAAATTCAAGATCAGTTGGGGTTGGGGTTGGCAACTTCACCCTGTAAAAACCCACTTGTTATGGAAACTGCAGCAACAAAGGGTGTGGGGATGGATGTGGCCCTGTACTCCTTAAAAGTCTGTTATTAGTAAGAAGGTAGAGGGGATATTTTTATAACACACACACACACACATATATATATATATATATATATATATATATTGATGCATGTTTCATTAAATAATATAGACAAGTTTTGTCTATTTAAGTAAGTTCCTTTCATATTGTCTGATAAGCTTAATAACATTATCATTGAAAGACGAAAGGAAATCACCATATTGATACATGTTTAAATCCAATCTAAGCTTTTATTTATATAAGCCATTATCAAAGATGACATTTACTTTTCAATATATCAACCAATACACAGACGAAACAATAATGATAATCTGTTTTTGTTGCATGAAAAATTTCAAAGCAACAACTAACTTGTGCATACGAGAAGCGGACAATATGAACGGAACTTACTTAAAATAGACAAAACTTGTCTATATTATTTAATGAAACATGCATCAATGAAATATATATATAGATAGATATAGATATAGATATATTTAATAAATCAATAAAACATCAATGGACTTATCTCTTTTGACACTGAGTACGTAAAAGGAAATACAATACCACATGTTGATGTGTTGTCAAGCTTACAATTTAATAAGGATCAAAAAGAAAAATTAAAATCCTGGATTAATAAATATTACATTGGGTTGAAACGGACATATTATCTCTACAAAGGTTGGCATCGGAAACTCTATAGGATCCAATATTAAGCAAAATTGCTAAGAAGAAACAGGTGGAATAATTGTTCCAAAGCTGAAAACCTTATAAAGAAATAAGGTATGAATTAACGATGGATATGCAATAGAGATGTGATAGTACCACCAGAAACAGTAAGAAAAGATATTTTAAAAAGTGAACATGATGATGTGCATTGTGGGATAATGGCTACACAGTGGAGATTAAAATTGGAGGCATAGTAGCCAAGGTATTATTGTGATATAGAAAGATATGTATACAAATGCCTAAAATGTGCAGAAATAAAGAATTTCCAACAAAGAAGAATATACTAATGGCTTAAAGCAACCCAATTATGGCTCAGGTTCATATGGACCATGCACACATTAATGGCATGGGACTGTTTCTAATATTAATAGTCTCATTCTCTGGATGGCCTGAAGTCATTAAAGTTAAAGATAGTAAAATGATTACAATAAAACAAATACTAAGAAAATACTATAGTAATGTGGTCCCTAAAATATTAGTATTAGACCAGAATTTTGTGATGAAGGTCTATGTAATTGGTTGAGGCTGCTTTCCTTACAAAACACCGCCATATCACCTACAATCTAATTTGCAGAAAGTATTGTGCAGGCAGTAAAAATGGGATTAAAATCATTTTCCCACGTAGATACTATAGACAATTACTTACCAAGGTTACTACTTAGCTATAGGACTATTCTACATGCTGGCAGATTGCAAAGTCCATCTGTGTTAATGGGAAGCTAAATAAGATCTCCATTAACAATGTCTTACTCAACAAATGTATAAGAAAGATAAAGTAGCAAGTCCTGAGAGAGGAGACATAACACGATCATTATATCAAAGAAAGGAAAAATTCTAATGGCCCATTCTGACCAATTAAGATTCAGAAATGAAAGAAGATCATAACAGAGAAAAAAGGATGAGTTCTTCAGATCAGAATAATACAATAGAAGACAAGCCTATGGATGAGAGCAGGTGTGACTCATACAAGGAAGAAGATGAAATGAGACCAAGATCTTTATTAAAAAAAACATACGACATAAATCCTAAGAGGGGAGAGGAGGAAAGAGGTTGTAGAAGATATTTAAGAACAACCAAAGGCATTAAACCTCTTCAGTTCAGGGAGGTGTAATGAATTAGTAAATAGCATTACACATATTTACATATGTTAAGTAGAAGATAAATAAAGTGTTTACTGATCCCATATTGTA